ACCGATCTCATATTACACACATAGCACACATTTTCATATTTCACATTTATTTAATAAGGTGCAAATTTGCCTTGCCATATGCTTGGAGGCTTGACAGTGGAAAATTGCCAAAGGAATTAAAATGAAACTATCCATTAGTTTATGTAGAATATTAATCACAATAAACTTTATTGAAGAGAGTTGTAGTTTTATGGTGTAGGAGTGAACATGAATATCAGATATGTTAAGTATGGTATTTAATTCATGAAACCAAAAGGGTTATTTTACTGGGGCAAGTCCCTCAGACCCTGCCTCTGGCATACTTCATTTGCAACAGCTGTGATGTTCTCCAGTTTGTCCTTGATAGCTCTGAGAGGAAGTGGTACCTCAATATATTAAACACTCCTTCGAATCTTCAACATAGAGTATTTTAAATCTGTCAAGCATGTGTCAATATAAGATTGAAAAGGGAATGGAATAGGGCTTGAGTTTCTTGGTTTACATAATGGTTCATTCAAATAACTTACCCTGTGTGGGCTATAGGACATTATAACTAATCTTAATATTCCTGGCATAAGAAAAAGAACTCTCAAAGTAAGGAGCACCTAGGATCAGTCTTGAAAATCCTGTTAGGCTAGATTTTCAAATAATAGGCTTCTCTTTCCTTTTGGACAAACCTACATTAGCTTGTTCATTTGTTTCATTCGTTCTTTATCATTCATTCACATGATTACTCAACAAACTCTTATTGAGTAGTCTGTGGGTGGCTGTGACCTAGCCTAAGCCTACGGCCTGAAGCAAAGTGGGTTTTGCTCATACGGAGCTTACATTCTCAGTTGGGAAAGAGGTAAGAAAATATAGAAATAGGAATAAAAATAGAGGTAGTGATAGACCATGTGCTACTTCCCAAGGAAAATAAAACCAGGCTAAGAGGTGTGGGAATGCATGGTCGGCGTTGGGAACTGCTGTTGTTTTTTGTAAGGGAAAGTCAGAAAGCGTCTCAGTCAATGGTACTTGTGCAGTGATGGGAAGGAACTGTATAGTGTGGATGTCCACTGGGAGAAGAGTCATCAAAGAGAGGTGGGGGCAGTGTCTGATGGCTGTGGAGCAAGGAGGCCTCAGGTTGGAAAGGAGTTAGTGAAGGGGAAAATAGCTAGAGAGGTCAGCGGGAGGGCAGACACATCAGAGAAACTGTGGGCCATTGGGATGACTTCAGCCTTTTCTGAGAGAATCAACAAAATCACAGGATTCAGAACAGCAAAGCAATGATGCAAACTTTTTATTTTTTTTTTAAAAAGGATTATCTTGAAAATTGGCTAGAGAATTTATTGTAGGGACAAGGGTTGAAATGAAAAAAAGATGAGATTGCTAATTGGTGTGTTCTGACAACTAAATGGCATGGATGATGTTTTATTTTGTGCACTTACCACAATCACTGTTATTAGTAACAGTAATGACTGTTTATTAGACATGGATGAACAATGACTGGCATATCTGAGCCACATTAGTAATAATTTAGTAATATGCTATGAATATTATAAAATAATCTTTGTTACCTCATTTTTTCTGAACACTTTTCTTCTCTCACTGTTTTTATTTAGCATTGTATCATTCTTGCATCCATTCACACTGAATTTCAGTCACTTGTGCTCCTTCTTCATCCTCTCCATATGAAGTGTCCACTGCTGCCTTGCTGACTCCCAAATACATCTCCTCCTTCTGTTCCCAGCTTTGGTTTCTGAACATCCTTTGTCTCATAGTCATCAAATTCTCCCATAATCCATATGAATTTCAGCAAGTAGCAGCATATTGGTTTTTAAATTAAGACCCTGATTTCCATTGATTCCAGCCTTTGCTCTTCCGTCTACTGGCAATAGGGCCTTTTGAGATTTTTTTTTGGACAGTTGTCCCTCTTTAACATCATCATATCTAATTTGTAATATACAAGGTCAGCATTTGATTTATAAAACCACAGAAAGGAGAAAATGAGACTTTGGGGTATTTAAAATGATGAGTGAGCAGTTGGACACTTAAAACATTGGTTCTTTCCACCTGCTGTAACTTGACCTCGCTCCATCTTTGAAATATCTGTCAGATCCCAAAACACAGCTCTCACTGTGTCATTCTTCTTGTCAAAACCCACATAGCCCCTGACTGCCTCCCATGTTTAGATACTTCTGCCAGGCGTTTGCATCTCTATTTGACTCGTTTTCTCATTACTTATTCCTCTCTAGGTATTTCATCTATTAGTTAAATTCACTGTTTTGTAAGCATCGGCTACTTCTTTATAAAATGTCATTCACTAAAATCCTACCTGCCCATCAAATTCAACCACTGCCTTTACACCAGCAGCAATATGGAAATTGTTTTTCTCAGACCCGAAACATCATTGTACATGGAGGCAGCAGTAGCATGACTTTGGAGCTACAGAGGCCAGGTTCTGCCATTTGCTGCCATTCTGTGGGTGTTACTTAATCTCTATGTTTGGTTTCCCCTGCAAATCTGGGTTAATAATACTTACCTCATAAGGTTGTTGTGGGGATTAAATGAGATATTGCATGTTGTGCTGGATAGCTTTAGTTGTCAACTTGACATACCTGGATAGAGGGAGCCTCAATTGGGGAAGTTTCTCCATTGGACTGGCCTGTGGCCATATCTGTGGGGAATTTTCTTGTTGAGTGATGTAAGACGGCCCAGCCCACAGTGAGTGGTGCCACTTCTCGGCAGGTGGTCCTATACTGTATAAGAAAGCAGGTTGAGCACAGGCCAGGGAAGCAAGCCAGCAAGCAGCGATCCTCCATGGCCTGTGCTTCAGCTCCTGCCTCCAGGTTCCTACCATGAGTTCTTATCTTGGGCTCCCTCAGTGATGAGCTGTGACCTGGGAGATGTAAGCCAAATAAACCTTTTCCTCCCCAAGCTGGTACTGGTCAGAGTGTTTTGTCACAGCAGTTGAAAGCAGACTGGAACACATGTGAAACACTTTGAATACTATCTGGCACTTAAAAATCATTAAAAATGTTTCTATTAATTGTAGGCATGAATATTTAGTATTATTTTATCATCAGGATCCATATTGGCAGGGACTTAAAATAAACCTTGAAATATGGCGGAAAGACATGAGGGGTTTCTGTTTTTGAGACAGGGTCTCTCTGTGGCCCCAGCTGGCCTGGAATTCTCTAGGTAGGGTCAGACTGGCCTCCATCTCAAAGAGATCCACCTGCCCCTGCCTCCCAAGTACTCAGATTAAAGGCATAAACCACCATGCCAGGCTCGTGGAAAGATATATGGACTGGGAAACAAGAGACTTAAAATTAGTACCTCCTCCCTCTACTAAAAGCCTTGCAATGCTTTGTTACTGATCTCTGCATCTTACTTGCTTCAGCTTAAAAAAAAATCACTATCAGTTCATATTAGTTGCATTTATATCTTAAAGCTACCTCCATCTCAACCCTACCCAAACTCTTAACTTCACACCTGTGTTCCTTTCCTGTCTCCCCACCACCACTGCTACAACTCTAGGCCAGTACCCTGCTCTGCAGAGCAGGTTCCTAATCTATCTTTTGGCCTCTACTCTTGCCCTCTTCAGCTCATTTTCCACCTAGCCAGAGTGATACTTAAATCCTAAACCAAGATGGCTATGATACTGTGTGCCTTTAATCCTAGCTCCTTGAGAGCTGAGGTGGATTATTTGAGCATTGGCGTTTGAGATCAGCCTGGGCAACACAGTGGGACTCCATCTCAAATAATACATAGATAAAGCATAAACACAGTATCGCCCTGCATTAAAGTCCTCAGTGGCTTTTCATCATAGGATGAGACCCACAGTCCATTGCCCTCTCATATCACCATCCCCATTGGTCCCCATTGCCCTGGCCCTTAGCACCTGATAGTATCTCTTCTTGTAACAGCCCCAGGTGTCTACATGACTCACTTGTCTTTTACAACTCCATCTAATTGTCCTTCAAGTTCTATCAGTAGTGTTCTACCACATCATCCTATTTTTTTCCCCCAAATGCTTGCCACTGTTGGAAAATCCCCTATTTTGTCATCCCCCAGCCTCACCCAGTAGAAAATAAATGCCCTCATTTCTAATAGGCCCCATTTCTAGCACTGTACCAGGAACATAGGGAGTAGTTAGGCTGGGACAGGTGAGACTTGACCAAATAAATGAACAAATACAAATTACTTTTATTGATACATAAAGTTCACATTAGTTATGTAAGCCAAGAAAAGTTATTTTTCTAAATATGATGACCTACTGGTTTTTCTTTCATTAAACCCCATACCGAATAAATATTTTTAAGTACATGTTTACAGTGCCAGAAATGGGACTGTAAATAAAAAATAAAGGCTCCCCCCAACCTCCTAGTTCTCAAATTTGCTGTTCTCTCCATGACCTCTGATCACTGACAGTGTATCCTCCTCTTTGGCCTTTTCCTTGTGGGTTCTAATTTCTCAATGTTGTTCTTTAGACCCCAGCCAAAGAAAAACTCACGTTACTGTACCCTTGCTTGAAAATACATGGGAATTTTCATTGTTCTCATAAAGATCAGAACCAGTTGTCCACCACCAGGGTAACACGCTTCCTCCCTTCCTGGTTCCCGCCTGCCACCTAGCTGGGTAGTGGTGACTTCTCGTTTCAAGGAAGATTCTACAAAGTCCCATTGTTGCCTCCTCCTTCCGATTTCAGACGACATAAGACTGTCCCTTCCCTTGGTAAGCCCACCTGGGCTAGGCCAAGGCCAATCCCATTCTCCATCATAAAACCCCACATCACCCAGGGCGTGTCATTATGAGCTCATGTTTGTTTCCTAAGCATATACTTCTGAATAGGACGGCCTTAATAAGTGGCTTCCCGCGAGCGGGCGCCCAGCACCTATTTGCGGAAGGAACGTATCCATGAACCGCCCAACCACCGCTGGTCCCCCACCGGCTGCGGCACCGCGATGACGCGTTAAGCGGGCGCCTGGAGGACGGGCGTGTCAGGGCGCCTGCGCGAAGGGGCACGCATGCGCAAAGGCGCGAGTCTGCTGACAGATTCTCGAAGGCGGTGGCGGCGGCGGCGGCGGCGGCGGCGGCCTTAGGCTACGGGGAATGGGAGTCCCAGGGCCCTGACTGAGCACCGCCCCCGCCTCCCTGCCGCGACATGGCCCAGGAGAAGATGGAGCTGGACCTGGAGCTGCCCCCTGGCTCGGGCGTGACCCCGGCGGAGGCCGGCGGCCCGGGCGGCGGCGGCGGGAGCCTCAGGAGGTCTAACAGCGCCCCCCTGATCCACGGCCTCAGTGACACTTCGCCCGTCTTCCAGGCCGAGGCGCCGAGCGCCAGGCGGAACAGCACGACGTTCCCGAGCCGCCACGGCCTGCTGCTCCCAGCCTCCCCGGTCCGCATGCACAGCAGCCGCTTGCACCAGATCAAGCAGGAGGAGGGCATGGACTTGATCAACCGAGAGACGGTCCACGAGCGCGAGGTGCAGACCGCAATGCAGATAAGCCACTCCTGGGAGGAAAGTTTCAGCCTGAGTGACAACGACGTGGAGAAATCCGCCTCCCCCAAGCGCATCGACTTCATTCCGGTGTCCCCAGCACCGTCACCCACCCGCGGGATTGGGAAGCAGTGTTTTTCACCGTCCTTGCAAAGTTTTGTGAGTAGCAATGGATTGCCTCCAAGCCCGATCCCCAGCCCAACTACCCGATTTACGACCCGGAGAAGCCAGAGTCCCATCAACTGCATTAGACCAAGTGTTCTTGGACCATTGAAAAGAAAATGTGAAATGGAAACTGAGTATCAGCCAAAGAGATTTTTCCAGGGCATCACCAACATGCTGTCCTCTGACGTTGCACAGCTGTCAGATACCGGTGTGTGCATATCTTCGGATACCCTGGATGGAAACAGCAGCAGTGCGGGATCGTCCTGTAACTCACCAGCGAAAGTCAGCACTACCACCGACTCTCCTGTGTCACCTGCCCAAGCAGCCTCTCCCTTTATTCCAGTAGATGAACTTTCATCTAAGTGATTCACCGAGCTTAACTTTTTTTTTCCCCCTTTTTGCAATGGAGAGACAGAAAAATCAAGTTAGAACAAGCACTGAACTTTGTCGATTAAGTTGAGGCTCTTTCCTATTTGACTCCCCCCCCCCC